TAGAAAGTGTGAACTGGGGCAAATACACAGATTCCCTCTGGTCAAATGGGATCGCCCGGAATTTGACAATACCGATAAGGAGTATTCTTTTATTTTCCGAATTTACAGCCCTTTATGTATTGTTCAACTTGAAAAGTTTCGACTGAGAGGGTGATTATAAATGGCGAAATTCGAAGGATCTGGAAGGAATAAATAGTGACCTGTTTCAATTTGCTGTTCCTAAATGAGATTGCAAGAACATAGGAAAATCATCGAAAAAGAACTTATATCAGTGCATATGGTCCTGAGCTGATATTTGAAATCAGAACTTGTAAAATGTGGAACAGATGTTTTATCCATTACAATGTGACATCCAGGAAAGGAATTTATGTCAATAAATACAAAAATAAAAATTCAGACCTTTACCAAAATCCGTCACCTTCACAGATTACAAGATAATATTTTCTGTAGGTTTGGACACAAAAGGCTCCGACGATCCCCACTCGATTCTACCTTAAAGCATACAAGAGCAGCAAGAGATAAGTTTTGGATTGCGCATGTGCACTGTATTTGCAGCGAGATCACGTCACGCATCGATATTAAGATTCTGTTTATGCGTATTCTAAGTTTCTCCGTTGAAAATATCCCGACTTATGGTCCTCAAGCAACTGAAGTCCACTTACTTACTTACTTACTTACTTACTCATGGAACTGAGCCTTTCTTGAGGAACCGCCAATTCTGCAGCTACTCAAGAATTTCCCAGCATTTTATGGAACCCGAAGGTTCATTACCGTGTTCACAAGAGCCCTCCACTGGTCCCTATCCTGAGCCAGATCAATCCAATCCATCCCATCCCATCCTATCTCTCTAAGATCCATTTTAATATTGTCCGCCCACCTACGCCTTGGTCTTCCCAGTGGTCGGAAATTTAATGTGAGGCAGGGCAGTTTAAATGTATTAGAATGATAAGAATATTCATAATAAATTCTGTAGGCACTGATAAAAGACTGCGCTTTCCACAAGAAGAACCTCAAGCATTATGTGGGATCTATTTGTGTCAGAATTTCAGGGCCGATTTGATATATATTGAGCTTGGTAAAAAAAATATAAAGACAAAATTATTTTAAGAATAGCAGACTACAAAATAGTTGTAGACACCCTGTCGGAAACAGTGCTTTGTGTAATGTTTTAGACAAAATTAATGGCAGGGGAAATTATTAAGCTCACACTTATAACCAGTCGAATAACTAAGCCTATGAACTGGTACTTTAAAAATGTAATTACTTGTCACAAATCGTCATAATTTTAAAAGTAAGGCGATATACCCATTTGAAAGCAGCATAATGTAAGTGCAAGCTAAACTATGCCAAGGGACTTTTCGTGAAAACAAATTATATATTTAATGTCCTTCTTGAATGAACTGCATTACATGTTGTAAGATTTGAGGCTTTCACGGCGGTGACTATGAAGAAAGCAGTCTTCTGGGATTTCGCACCGTGTATATGTGGTGTTAACCGACGTTTCGGAGGAACGTATCGCCCCCATCTTCAGGGTAGAAGAAAAAGTATAAGAAATCTGCAAGCGACAACACCGTGAGAAACGGTAAAGCTTTACCGTTTCTCACGGTGTTGTCGCTTGCAGATTTCTTATACTTTTTCTTCTACCCTGAAGATGGGGGCGATACGTTCCTCCGAAACGTCGGTTAACACCACATATACACGTTGCCAAATCCCAGAAGACTGCTTTCTGCATTACATATTGCTTGCATCTGTCTGAATGTGAAGGCACAACAGATCACTGTGGTCGCGGTGCAAGGGCCAAGAAGGCCACCCCTTATACATCCATTCATTCAAATACGATCTTACGGAAAGTAAGGGACGTATTAAGAGATAAAAGGAAACGGAAGATCGGTCGAGAGTTACAGAAGTAAGTAGAGAAAAGGAGGAGTGTTTTAATATAAGAGGGGGCACAGGAAGTTTTCAGGAAAAAGTTTCTATTGTTAGAAATTTACCGTGAGACTGTTCAGGTTAGGATGAAAGAAAATTCACAGCGGAATGGCTAAGTGTAAATCACACATTTCATATTGATGAAACACTGCTTTGGCTATTATACATGATATAAAACGGCTGTGGAAACAAGAAACGTAGGCAGAAATTTAATGGCGAAATTAGTTGAAAATAAGACGATTGTAAGACTTGTAAGATGTTACGGCTGTCCTAGAAAAATTGATTTTGAAATTGTGAGGTGGCGAGAAAAGAAATCTTGTGTTCCGATTTGTTTTTGGTTACTTAACTGTCCTCTTCACAATTCAGATTTTAATGTCGATAATGCACAAACAGATCATTCATCACAAAATTCTATCAACGACAGAGCCTGAATTAACCGTATGCAATGACACGTTGTAATTCTCTTCTCACATGTTTAAAAAGATAGATACAGAATTTCCACTTATAAAATATGCATTAGGCCTGCTGTAACCATGAATTGGAACTTATTTGTTGCTTTAAGTCATGGAACACAAGCTGTCGCATAGAAATTAATAGGAGTATATCTCCTCTGTCAGAAACTGCAGACTGAAATATGCAATATTATAATTTTATATACTGTTTCTATCAATGTGAAAGTTGAACTTTTGCTCTTGGGGGGAGAATCTGGATTAAAAATATTTGAAAACAAAACGCAGAGGAGAATATCTGGGCCTTAGAGATATGAAGCAATAAAGAAACACAGAAGATTACACAATGACGAGTTTGTGTTTGATTTACCTTTACAATTATTTTCGATATTATTTCTCTCGAATGAATTTGTAGCAGGAAAGTACGCCAGAAAAGCATGCAGGTGTTCGTGTAAAGTCGTCGCCAATCATATCCGACCTATATGAAAAAATTAATTGCTCCAAAATTTTTCGTAAAACTTTTCTGTGTCAATTTTCGTGAAAATCTGTCCAGTTATTCTCGAATTTTTTTCCTACACAGGGGCGTTCTCGAGGGTTGCCAAGCAAAATAATTGAAGAAAAATACTTTATATTTCTGTGCAATTTAATATCTGTAGGCTAATATCGATTATCTTTGCAATTAATAAATACAGATGAGCTGCACAAAAACCATAACAAAATATTTCTTATTACAGTGACCACACTCCTAAAACGTTAAGTTTCTAACTTGATTGCAGAGAGAAGGAAAACTAACGTACGTTTGTATAAAGTAGTCTGAATTCAGACTGGAGCTGACTGTTCAAAGAGATTTCAAAATTTAACACGGATCTCATACAGTTGATTGCCTCAAAAATGCACTTTCACTGATATTTAAACTCGGAAATTCATTTTTCCGGTATTGAACACCTTGACAGAACCTTAAAGTCTCTCGAGGCTAAAGAGGCGCCAAAACCCAGAAGACGACTTTCTTCATAGTCATCGCCGTGAAAACCTCAAAACCTACATCTCTCGAGGCTGTTTACTCATCTTTCCGTGTGAGACTTTATGCAGAACAAAAATCATTCCGTCTCGTCATTTCACGTATATAATGGACCTAGAAGTTATAATATTTCTGCTGTAACCCGTACCTTCATGTGTGGAACAGACCACTGCAAGAAAGACTTCCAGAGTCCTCAAAACTGATGCAATGTTACGCAGGAGAAACATAACCTCCCTCGCCGCTGTGCTGATGCCAATTTCATCTAATATGCTAAGTCAGTGGCGACTCTGTGGCCTGGAATATCCTTGCGAACATCCCAATGTAACTGGGATTAACTTCACGAACGAAACATTAGGAATGTTAATGCATGGAATGCCCATGTTGAGTGGGTCCCCTGACACCACGGCATCCACGTCCTCGAGTTGCGGATGGAGGTCCCCAGATATAGAGGGTAGCTGCGAATATATTGAGTAAGTAGTCGCAGACAGATGACAAGGGGTGGTTCTGCAAATTTGGGGTTGAGCATGGAATTAAGAGCTCTCCACGATGCGAAATGTTCCACAGGACCTAGGACTTGGACTTAAATAAAAATATACCTGAAGTTTGGCATGGGTAGAAGAGGAATGCATGTGGGGTTTGAGTGGGAAAGCCAGAAGAAAAGTGACCACCAAGAGAACATAGACACAGGCGGGAAGATAATATTAAAGTTGATTTGGAGAAATGGGATGGTACTGACCGGATTCATATGATTCAGGAGAGGAACCAGTGAAGGGATCGTATGAAAACAGTAATGAACCTTCGAGTTCTATAAAATGTTGGGAGATAATTGAGTATCTGATCGACTGGTGGCTTCTCAAGAAGGAATCAGCTCCACTAAGTTAATTAGTTAATTTGTAGAATACACGAAATAGACATTTGGCTGGGTTTCCACAGAATGACCTTCTGGATGGCTACCAATGGCTCGGAATAGTGTGCGTGGCTCACTTACGGGATACCGTGAAGATGGAGTCATGAGGCTCCTTCTGAACGTCGGGAATGACCGACAAATTTAAGTCTAGACCCAAAGGCAACAACCTAAAATAATTTCAACATTTAAAAAATAATCCATATTTTTCCTTGTATTTTTTTTCCTTGGCACTACAGCCCCAGTGGGCCTAGGCCTACCTCCATGAACTTCTCCTTTCACTTCGGTTTTTCTAGATCTTACACATTCGATAGGACTCCTTGGGCGGGTGAACAGCTCATCGCAAGGCCTCTACCTGTACACAAACACAGAAAGACGCACACACACGCGCTAAATATCCATACCCTGAGTGGAATTCGAAACCACGATCCCGGTTTCCAAGCGAGCGAAGACAGGACATGCCTTAGGCCGCTCGGCTACCTTGACCGGCTTTTCCTTGTATTATACAGGCAAAAGCTTTATTTAGAATAATGATATACTACACAAGGTAATTCTGACAGTGATGATTTGTCTTGTGTTGTGACCGATGTTCAAGCTCTTAACCTTATCTCATGCAACAAGCACGTTAAGCGCTGTGGCAAATTGAGGATGTTATGTGTAATATTCTCTTTTCAAGGAGCGTAATACAACCCTCTATACTCACATTGTGTCTCCAGATGACTTTGTACACCCATGGATTGGCTAGAATGTTGCACTCGAAGTACACGTCCATACCTTCCCTGATTGAACTCCCATTCAGGTTACTGCCCAACTCCAGAGCCACCACTGGCGAATCTGTGAAGCAGTGAGATTTTTATGCCACAGAGTGTTGAAATTGTAATCTGCGGGGTTGTGAAACTATAGTCTTACATGTGGAGGAATATTCCGTCGCAGTCTTCAGGGTCAACGTTGGGTTCAAGCAACCTACACAGCGATTATTTAACGAGTTAAGGTCCTCTCAATTCGCGACTGTTCACACGGGTTGTGCATGAACCAGCATTCAGAAACTCAACTCAAATTTAGAATTAATTTAGGCAATGACATTATCTGTTCATCAGTATTGTTATTATCAATCAACTATCATGTTCGGTCTAACGTGTTGCGTTGCGTTAGACGGAACATTACTCGTATAGTTGATTGGGTTGATCACGCACTAGGATGCATTCCATAAAGATTGTTATTGTTATTATTATGGCTCTACATCCCTTTGTTGGGCCTTGGCCACTTTTTCAGTTTTTAAATCCTTTGCACAATCAGTAGGACTCCTTAGACGGGGGATAAGCCCGTTGCAAGGCCACTACCTACACACAAAATATTAACATAGATTAAACGCACACAATCCATGCCTTGAGTGGGGCTCGAACAAACGATACCACTTTAGAACTAGCGAAGATAGTTTATGCCTTATACCTCACGGCCACTGTGTTCGGCAATATAAATATTATACTTCCGTGAACTGGTTTAGGTTAGTAGTGGCAACTGTTTACAGTACATGTAATTATATACGTATGACTCAGCTGTGAGTTGAGTAACAGTTTCTCACATGATATAATGATATGTTGCCATGATTTCTTTCGGTTTAGGCATTGAAAGTATTTCACATTTATGTAAGTAAGTAAGTAAGTAAAGCTATCCTTGTAAGAGGCCGTGAAGGCCCATAGACGTTGAGGATCCCACATTATCTAGATAATCGGCTCAAAGATGGCGGTAAGGTTGTCAGTCTTACGCGCCGGCTGCGCTTTATTCCCCAGGAAAATTATTTAATTAATTTCTGGTACTCATTTCTGTTAGAGGCTGAGTTGACCCCAGGGCCATAGTGCGGCTGGAATGATTAGGTCAACTGAAAAAAATCCAATCACCTCATCGGGACTTGAACCCGCGACCTTCCGGCTTGCAGCTATCTGCTATCGCGTAGTCTAAATACTGACACGGCGTGGTTACCAACGCCTTGTTTGCGATTATGCGATGTACCAAGTGAAGATAATTCTGTTATACGCGTAAGGAACCCCCTGTGCTGCACTTTGCAACCCCAACAAACTTGTGGGTCTGTTACAGCCTATATTTAATTTAGACGAAAGGAATACTGAGAAGGATATATACCTCACAGGACATGCAACGCCTCTTCTTTCCAGAAAAATGTGAGGAAAGCTGACATATCTGCATATTCAAAGTTTTGAGTTCTGTTGAACTAGGAGGAATTTCTGTTGATTTTGGACTGAAATCCAAGATAGGGAGAGAGAAAAAGTAAATGGTTTTGTATATTTAAATAAAAGAGATGGAAAGACTATGTTTGCATGCTCCGAAGCACATCTGAGTCATGTACAACAAAAGTGCTAAAGAAATTATCCGTATAAATGTTTGAACACAGAGAATGGAAACTTATGCAGTACATGTGCCTCTTCCTTCCTACATTTTTACGTCTAACTGCTTTACTTCGAAACATATAGAGATGCACAAGGTAGCGTAGTTGGTTGAGGCACTGTGCTATAAGTTGGAAGATCGCGGGATCGAATCCTAATGAGGTGGATTTTTTCAATTTACCTAAACCTTCCAGCCGCACTATGGCCCTGGGGTCATCTCAGCCTCTAGCAGAAATGAGTACCAGGAATCTTCCTGCTGGATAAAGGGCGGCCGGCGCGTAAGAAAGAAAATCTTTGCACCATCTGTGAGCCACTGTCTAGAGAAATTCACAACCCTGTGGGCCCCCATGGCCTGTTACAGGGATAGCTCTACATATAGGGATGATGACGATAGTGAGTATAATATGAAAATTGCTTCGATTCGGCTGGAACCGTGAATGGCACTGTACTAATTTTGGCTTCATTATAGCATTCATTTTGAAAGGCTAAATTTTTATTGTTTCAAAACAAGGACCATCGGGTCCTACTAGAGAATACTGATTATGTACCGTGCAACACAACGTGTTTCGTCAGCGTCGTTTTACTTTATAAAATTTAAATGTTGCTGCTTTGAAACTTTCGAGACTGTTAAAATATTTAGATGACTTTGCTCTGGATTATGATTATCTTCAAAAGAATCATGGAACAAAGAAAAGGATCTTCTGATATAATGTTTTTCCATTATTCATTATCTAGATCGGAGAGGTCTGCAAAGTTTGCGAGAGAGAAACCATAGAGGTTGTGGGATGTCGATATATGCATAGAAAACAACTTATTAAACCGTTGTATAAATATTTATTGTAGTTGTACAGAATATACATACGAACTGCAGTTCAAGATTTGAAGGTAGCTGGTTTTCGTAGACGTGTAAAAGAAATGTCAAGATTTTTTCAGCGATTGGTGATATATTGTATTGCAGTAATGCTGATGAACTGACGGGGGAATTGGTGCATGAGAGTAAGTCTGAGGACTGGTAACTGCTTACTGATTCGTGAAAGTTACGTAGGGAGGCTGTCTTTCTTCACAGTGGAAACGATTTATCATAATCCCAGTTGGCTCGTTGTGCACACGAAAAATCGCATGACAATACGAAATTTCTGCTCAGTTGCATACACTATCATAAATATTGTTTGGAAACTTGAAATACATATGCCTTCTACTAGGCATTCGGCTTGATTCTATGAAGATCTTGATTCGTATGCGAACGAGATTTTAGAGTAAGAAGTAGATCCAAGTGTGAGAGAATGGTCTGGTCGCAAGCAGTTTCTTTCTAGGCAAAAGAATTTTGCAAGTGACCTATTTTCAGAGGAACGCGGTAGCGTAGTTGGTTAAGGCACTATACTATAAGCCGGAAGGTAGCGGGTTCGATTCATAATGAGGTCATCGAAATTTTTAATTGACTCAATCCTTCAAGCCTCACTACAATTATGGGGGCCGATTAGTATCTAACATAAATGAGTACCAAGAATCTTCCTGGGGGTTAAAGAGCAGAAGGCGCGTAATGCTGTCAACCTTACCTCCATCTGTGTGCCGACTGTCTAGAAAATGTGAGAGCCTCGACATCTCACAACTCTATGGGCCTCCACGGTCTGTTACAGGGACAGCTTTATGTTTTCACCCAATTTTAGAGCCACTTCCCACCATGCTTACACGGATGAAAAATTCTGTGAAGGCTACGAACAGGAACAGAGAAGGTTCTCAGTATGTGGTACGTAATTTTTATGGATCAGTAAATCATGGGCACAGGGAGAGATATTCATTGATCCTTACATAATTAGGGGTTATGAGTCACAGGAATTTTGATGAAGTGCTAAAAGGAACCGTGAAGACAGAGTTGGAAGCATTCAAATTGGTTTCTGACAGATTCCTGGGTAGACGAAAGGCCTCAAATTTCAGGGAGTTGGTGGAGGAAATGCTGGGAACTTACAGAACAATAAGATGCAATACGGCAATAGAAATACACTTCCTTCATTATCACTTGGATATATTTCGACAAAACCTTGCAGATTTTAGCAGCGAGGATCGAGAATTGTTTCTTCGTAATATTTCGAACGTGGAGAAATGCTACCAGGGAATGTTGGCAGCTTAAACAAGAAGCACCAAATGCAAGCAAAAAGGAAACAAAGTCGAAGAAGATTCTGAAAGCATTAAGTGCAAATTTATTTTATATTTCTTTTAACGATTATTATAATAAATAAAAACTGGAGCAACTTTACATTACTTATTTTCTTCAATATACATAATATTACATTCTTTTTAAATCCGATAACTTTATTTCCCAGAGAGTCCTTCAGCATCTTCCCCCAACTTTCCAACTGTCCTACTCCCAGACAATTTACACCCAAATTTTATAATTTCTTTTTCTCCGGTCCAGTGTAAACATAACTTACATCCCTTAGCAGTGACCTTTATAAGCCACCAATCCCCTCATTGTTCCCTACGTTTCCAAATTCTTTATGTTCTAAGCTTCAAGAATGCAGATTAATAATTAAATAGTATGCATTGTGTACAGTATTTTATTAGAATCGATTTTGTCGTAGAAGAAACGAATACCTGCCCGAATGCTTTATTGCTAAATGTTCTTATCGAAAGGAAGAGAGAGTGGCTGCTGAAGAAGGTCTTAAAATTACTTGCAATGAAGGAAAAGGAATAAATTATTTTCCGGCAGGATATCTCACTCTTAATAGTTATATATTCAGAAATACTAATTGATGAAAATTACTATACCAACTATACTTACTATATTTTCAAGAAATGGGCTTAGTAATTTGCTAAAGTTAGATAAAAGTCTTTAATATACAATGTCAGTATTCAGTGATTACTACTGCCGCTTGTGTCTTGGTTTCATTTCTAGTTCCTGAGACCGGCCTGCCTCACTGAGATTGTTCTTGATTTTCCCATGTAAAAATGTAAAGTTATTCCTGTACCAGGCCGTTAAGGTCGATGGGGTTGTGAGACGTCGAGGTTCTACATTTTCTGGACAGTCTACTCAAAGATGGCGGTAAGGCTGTCAGCCTTAATCGCCCGGCTGCCCTTTGCCCCCAGGAAGATTCCTGGTACTCATTTCTGTTTGAGGCTGAGTGAAACCCAGGGCCATAGTGCGGATGGAAGGATTAGAAAAATTGAAAATTCCAATGACCTCATCGAGATTCGCACCCGCTACCTTCCGGCTTACCTTCATGAAAATGCTGGTAAAGTACCTTAAATTAGACCAAGACGCCTTCCTTGCACATACGTCTCAATTAATGACTAACCAATTCCCCTCATTGAACGCTATGCAAAAACAACTGGGCGCTTCTTTAAATAAACCAAGAAAAATGTACAAGCTTGTTTAATTAACTGGCCCTGTGGCAATGCCATTTCTAACATAATGTGAAATTTCGTATCTCCCACTGG